TATTTTAATACTGCACGAGTTCAGCTGTTCACTTCTGCAGCATAGTTGTCCGAGGAGATTAAGGGTTCGGACCTGGTCTGATTAACTCACTAATCACAACTAGCAATAATCCGTGGTTTCCTTGTGAACAATACTAGGCAAAAGTCGCTACAAGACCCTAACATACAGGCCATGGACTGCGCAAGATCTTTCCTTCATCACCCCTGCCCATTCCTCTTCCCTAACGTGTCTACATACTACGTACAAATACTCTGCCGCTTATGTTAGGAGACAAGTTGGGAGCTTACAGCTTGTCCTGGCTGTAGCGGTGTCCTCTTGGGGAAGAGATCTGGAGGATGAAAAATCCCGCAAACTGACATGTTGGGTGGAGCTGAATCCTATACATTAGCGGGTTAATGAACACCTTCACCTCTTGATATACATTCACGACACTTATGGAACTAATAAAATAAGTTAAAGGACCCAGAAAACACTATTATCTCACTCCTCACCTTATCAAAAATGTATTTACCATTCTCTCAAACTTCGTCTTTGGGTCTATCGTGTGCTCTCTTTCCCGGTATGTTTCATTCAAGTCGTTCTTGGTCACAGGTTTTCCTCGTGTTATCCTTCGTGCTAACCAATTCCACATTGATTTTAGATCGTATGTTCCGACTTACTAGGTTCTCTACTTTCTCCCACTTCGGCCCACCCTCTTTACTTTCAAGAGACGGACTGTGCGTGACTCCTTGTGTTCTGTCCCCCTTTTCTTTCACTTCAATAAATCGTGAAAACAACGTTTGAAGAGACAGTCAACATGTAATCAGTTCTCACGCCATTGTGCATTGCAAACAGAATATTCTTCTCACATTAAAAATTACACTCCTTCAATATCGATTGCGACAGTTTAGTTTATACGTAAGACGAAGGAAACGGTTTTCATTACACACCTTACAGAATATCGTTTACTTCCTATCGAAGAAGCACAAAACCTCCATAAGTATGCACATGGGGCAGAAATAGAAACACCGGAGGTTTTTACTATTTTTGTCCTGAATTTTCCTCTGAGAAATTTAAGTGTGTATATTAAATTAAAAACCAAATGCAAGAACCAGTTTTATCAATTTAGTTACATTCAAGATATGATATATTAAATATATTTGAACTGCAAATGTGCATAAGCCGGTGACAGCTAATTACATAAATAAGAAATTACATACAATTGATATTTTAAACATGTAACGCTCCGGATGAAAATATTCTGGAAGAATTAAACGTTTACTAAAAAGACAGAGTATAATTTCTATTCAATTAAATACCTACATAGAATTACAGTAAACTGTTGATATGTATTTTTGTTTCAATACTTGGATGACGTTTCTTTAGATGTTGTGCAATGGAATTGGAATAACATATCTACATACTAACGTCTGCCAATCCGGGTAGTCGAGATCGCGAACACAGTGTCGATCTCGGATCGAAGGATCGCGGGTCGTGTCTCGTTCATGAATGTATTTGTGGACATTCTTTCAGCTCTCATTATCATCCTGTCACTTCATTAAAGTAATATTAATAATTCATTTCTCTAGCAGGAGGCCCTTGCCCTTAATGGGATGTGCAGTTAGCTAATAAAAAAAATATACTAACGTCTACAGGATAATTTTCGGTCTAGAACCTAAGCCATTTCTGCATACATTTAAAATAATTTCTAAAACATTCCATTAAAACTATAAGCTTCCTTTAACATGATTTTTTCAAACTTTAGAGATATGTGTACAAACATTATTCATCTTGAAAAAAAGCTACATTCGCGTGTTGCGCTCGTTACTGCCCTTCAGTAAAACTGTTTACATCTCTGCTTGATTCCATAAATAAATATTATTAATTATACCAGTGATTGTTCTTCTTTCTTGCTTACTTTACCCCGAGAGCGGCCTTGCGTTATCCTTGCCCCATTGAAGTCCCTTAGTGCTAAGTTTTGTGTTGTGCGCACGCTGCCAGGCCAAGAGGAGAGGCGGGCTCGGACGAGCTTCCTTCAACTGCGTGAGTATCCCGCCCCCGCACGCCCCTCCTACATCAACAACACTCGATTTTTTAACAAAATTATTTTTTACAACATTTTGCATTGTATTTATTGATTAGATTGCTGGTCAGGTAGATACCTTCTAGTTATTAAATGTGGTTAATTAAAGATGTTGGCTGGTATCAGAACGTTGTTTTCGGTCCGGAAGCTGCTAGCTCTGAGGAAGCTACGCGATTGAAACGATCATTAGAAAAATAAATTATTGATACCAAACAACACCTTTAATTTACCATAATTAATTGCATTGTATTATTGAAATAACAAGAGCTTAGTAGAGGCTGAGAGGATAGTTTCCTTTTATGTCACAATAACAGCCAATAATATTATCCAAACATTAAATTCATTTTGGTTTTCGGGTGTGAATTTATAATCTGTAATGCACCATGTCAAAATATTAATAAAACCATCTTGTGACCACAAATGCCGATTTTTAGAAAGAAAGGGGAAAATATATGCGGAATTATACGGTAATATTTTATAATGGCCGAATATAAATATACACAAAGCAGTTTAAGACCTTCATATTTATACTGGATACTTTTTTGAATTCAAATAAATTTTTGGATATTTTTAAAAGATAAAGGCTAGCAGAAATAAGATCTTTCATGTTGTGCCTCTTTAGTAACAATGCCAATCTTCATATTAAATATGTTACGATATGACAGGCATTCTATCTGCATACAGATTCCAGAATCAGGAATGAGTTTTGCCAGGAAAAGCAAAGTCGCTAGGAAAGTAATGAGTTGATATTTATTATTGAGACAGTATTCTTATTAGATCCTAACATTTTAATTATTTTTATTTTTATCCATTTCGATTATCTACATTTTATGAAATTGATATAACATTAGTAACGATTCATTATTAGAAAACACATGTTCTAATTATTCATGTCTTACCAAGTCATTAATCCATGGCCATTAGAAATAATAACAACAGCATTAAGTAACTTAATTATAGAGAATCCTAAATTAGAAAGTCAAATTTAAACGTAACTTTTAGTGCTTAGAACGTTTTACAAAGGGGATAAAACCTGATATGACATTGTATCGTAACTCAATCGATTTTCAAATTCCCCAAGGCCTTGTTTGATAGTTCAGTCTCACATTGTAATATGACGTCTTACAATAAACTGTGTGAGGCGTCGTGGAGAGAGCACGGCCGCTCACGCCAATCGCGCCCCTGTCGCCAGGAGCTGCGCCCCACCAACCACGCGACGCTGCAGAGCCTGGTGCGCCAGCTGGGGGAGCCCGTGCCGGCGCCGTGCTGCGTGCCCGACCACCTCTCCTCGCTGTCGCTGCTCTACCTCGACTCGTCGGGCGACGTCGTGCTCAAGAACTACCCCAACATGGCGGTGGAGTCCTGCGCCTGTCGGTAGAGCGCCTGCGGGAGCGCGGACCGGCGCCGGGGCGCGAGGCGGGCTCGTGCCGGAAGCGGACCCTGCGGGACGCCAGCTCGTCGCCCGCGCGCGCGGTTGAGATTCTCCGCGCCATCACTCCTGAGGGATCTAGGACACTCTCGAGTACTTGCGTCAAACTGTGTCAATTCAGAGGCGGTGCATGTTTAGTACGTATTGACTGAGTTATTGGCTTTTATTTGAGATCAAATATTGGTCGAATAGCCGTTTCGTTCTGTAGATAATTTAAGAAAAATCTGGTGCCAGTTTATGAAGAAAACAAAACGCCTAGGTTGTGGCGTGAAAAATAATACACGTAGATGATAAGAATGATATTATGTTGCAATGTTATTTTGCATATTACATATTTCGACATAGGAAATGATGTTTAGTATGAAAGTTTCTGACAAAGTTTCGTAAGCTAATTATTATCGGCACCCGTGAAGTGATTTTAAAATGGTTGCTTCAAAAATAAATATAAATGCGTGAGTTTCAAATCTGACCACTGCTTCGCATGAAGAAAAGACTGAAGATATTGCTGTTAGGAGTGCGGCAACTGTCTCTTCTAGTTCAGTGTTCCATTGAATTACTTTATCGACCATCAATTCACCGAACAGAAATTTGTGTTCAAAATTCAGCGAACGTTATTGTGAAGATAAAAACAATACTTTTATTTCAACCAATTTTGTAATAGTTGACAAGAGGAGAGAATTTTATTTCGTTGTGAAGATGAACTTCAACGATAAACTCGTAGTAAAAGCGTATTTATTGTCTCGGAATTTGTTTCCTAGTCAAAACGCAAAGAGGAGTCAACATACGAATTATAAAATGTTATTTAAAAGCATATATTGGTCTACAAAACCATCTGTATTGAATGCTTTATCAAGCATTTCTGTCCAACGTTCTATCAGCATTAATTACTGTGTTACATCAAAACTTAACATATGTGACTCAAGTAGACTGAAACTGAACTAGTGAACTGGTATATGCGTCAGTGCTATTGTCAGAACAGTAGATTGTAAATGGGTTGATTCTATCTCGTTCATTAATAATGGCTTATTAGATCACGAGTTTTGCATAGAAGTGAATGTTGTAAATTATTATTATATTATTGTAATTCAAAGACAAATGTAAACATCAATGTTGCGTACGTGAATATAGGGTTACTACAACGACTTTTAGAACTCTAGATGCGTAGAATAGTTCTTTAGTACACGAAAGCGTGATCACATTAGAATCAATAAATATATCAACGCACCAGACAGATTCTTAAACGTTATACACTTTATGCAGATCAGATATTGACTCGTGTTTTTGTGATAACATTGAGTAGTATACATCATAAACATTTATGTGTCACATCACACTAAAATCCTAAAACGAAAGACATTAAATTTATCTAACAAGTAGGCAATTAAACGTGAAGGCATCTCTGATAACCGGAAGTAGGAATGTTTAGATTCAGAAAACTGTGTTCTTTCATAAATTTCAAAGATTAATGTTCATAGAGAACGGATGTTACGAGATATCTCAACACGCATTTTTAATGAAAATGTTTGTTTTGAGAATGCATTCTTATCGTATTGTTTCACAGGATACGGGAGGAAGAATCACTCGAATTCTGACCACAAAAATATTATAAGACTCAATGCTCAGTTTCGATTACGAAATGACAAAGAATCTCAGTTACATGATTCATAATCAATTGATTGCTCACCATTTTACTGAAAGAGAGTAACGATACGTACAGATGACAATCACTTAGGGAAAGTTGCTTTGAGTGATTCTAATAATAGCCAGATGAACTAAATCCCACCTTTCAGAGTAAATTATCTTCACGGATAATATAACACGGAAATGTTCATCTTCAAGTGTAAGTATACAGTTAAAAAAACAATGGGTGGTGTGAAACTACAAGGGCTGCATGTCTAAATTTCGATTTAATGCCATTACTATGCGAGGGGTAGTCCTATTTCAGTGGAAGAGAAAAAATGTGTATAATGAGGGAAAGCGTCCCATGAGGGAATACGCCTAATATTAATGATTGCTTCTTCTCTCCGATTACTACACCAATCACCAATTCAATGGTGAAGTCGTCGGACAATTCATCCCGGATTTTCTCTATAAAGTTATATGAAATACGAAGTGAGAAGCTTCCTTTTGATTTGAATTTCAAACACTCATAACAGTGAAATATCTCTGCAACTCATGCATTTGTCATCATTTTTGTGTTTCCCAGAGGAGTTCTCCAATATATTTTTATGTTTTCTGAAGTTTATTTCTGGTCTGAATTTATAATGCAGACATAGAATAGTACTGTCACGCCGTTTTGATTTCATACTATTTATACAAAAATTTCGAATTAATACATGTCCAGTTGTAATTTCATTTGGAATACTGCTTGACATTTCTTTCAATACTACTTCATGACATTTTTTGAAAGGGTACTTGCTAGGTAAATAACGGCTGTGTTTCATTTACAAATATTTTGAATTATACTACAAAACAATTATTTTTATTAAAGGTAAATAACCGGCATTTCCCTTCTCATTTATTTAAAAAGAGTGGTTATACACAAATAAAAGATATTTGGAAATAATATAAGTTTATTTTTTGAGACACCACTATTGTGAGTGGTATTGAAGGCCTGTAAAATAAAAGAAGCATGAGTTTAATTTTCACATGAAAGAAAATTTTAAGGCCCCTGAGTAAGGTTAGATTAGTACTATCATATATACATGACAACAGTTTAAAAATATTTTAAGCATAATTCAAAACTTGTTTAACTGAAAGAATCAAACTCTTGAGCCAATAAGGTCTTAAACATTTCATTTCTCCTGTCATTGTTTTCAAAAAAACATTTCATCCTACCTCCCTAATACAAACTTTGACTTTTCAGAACAATATGAAGGGCGATAATTCATCTACAGGAAAGGCTTCTTTGGTTCCGAGTGATAGCCTTTCCCTTAGGAATATGTGTCTTAGTCCTCTAAGTATTACCGATTCCATTGGAAGACGTAACGGCGCTTCAACGTCGTTATCCAATGAGATGCGTTGGTGTTACCCTTAGTTCCAAGTTCAAATGAAGTTAGGAGTAAGAGATACAGTAAAACGCCAGAGGTACCTGAATATACAATATTGAAAATGCAAGATATTTATTTTGATTATTTGTTTCTGATATTTTTAATGTTCTCTTCACGATTACTATTAACGCTTGTTTCATCGGAATTCACAAAGTAAAAGTGTAACTTCCAAAATATTTATAACAAATCGTGGATGTTTGTTTACCTGTGTAGAACCACAAATTGTTATACACATTCACGTGTCTCTGGCGTGCAAGTAGTTCAATTTACATTTCTTGCTCCTCGGTAGTGATCGTATTCTTCCCTTTACAAGGGGTCCTTTATGTTAGAATTCATGTTACCGTAAAGTTAGAATTAATTCATTTATTATTTGTTAATTCATAAATATACCCAGTAAAAGATTTTTAGATGTTTGTGTTGTATAAATGTGAATATTCTCACTGTATATACAGTTGGTGGCGCATCCAACCAAGAGCCGTTTGGATATAGGAAGTGTCTTGCGGCCGTCAGTAGGAATGTCGGTGTTTTGTATGTTGCTGCTATTAACCAAATAAAGCACTTGTAACTGTACAGACTCTTCATTGTAATTTTTCACCCATCCCTTGTAATTCATCTAAGAGTGTTTGTTTTGTCGTGAGAGCGTGATATACAAACACATTCTCTCAATACATACTTGCTTCTAAAGGTACTATCATTAAAATTTTGCTGGTTATTGTTAAATTTAAGTTGGGGTAAATTTGTATTTCTCTTGTATATTTTTTATTTGTATGCATGGTACGTTATGAGACACAAGCAAATCTGAGAATGACTTCTGGAAATAAGTTTTTAAGCTTTAGAATTCAAATTTAATCTCTCTCTAAAATCATAACATATGCTGTGTGAAAAAAGGGCAGCAACAAAGTTCATGGAACGCAGGGGGAAACACATAAATCTACTTATCTTCAGATTACCATTTCATTCCTGATCCATTTACTATTTTGTATTTTACTCCATGATATCAAGACAGATTAAACATAAATAAAGCAATGTGCTGACTGTGTAATTGCGTCTTCACGAGACAAAAATAATTTCATAATGACAACGGCTTTCACTAGAGTTTTTCCACATTTGCATTTACCCCTATAGTTACCTTCACTTGCACCTGTATAGAATCGAGGGTAAACAGGGATTATCTTTCTGTGTTTGTGATCTACTTGCATTCCTCTCAGATTGTCATATGACTCGCAACAAACTAATCCTTCCTGACAGAAACCACATTCAAAATATAAGAAATTAAAAATTCACATAAATTCTGAAAAATTAAATTGACAGAAAAATGTGCGGGTGCACAGGTTTGTTCAAATAGTAACGGAACATTTTTAAAACTCACATTTTTAGTTAACCTTATAACATTTACAGTCAATATTCTTCAATGTAGGCTTCTCAATATCGGATTTCACATTGCTTGAAGAAGTTCTTGAAGTCCTTGAGTGGAATTCCCTACAAGGCGTCGGTTGTAGCTTTTTGAACCTTGTCAATCGACGCAAAACGCTTTCTTCCAGCATCCTTGAGGAACAAGAAGTCGGACGGAGAAAAAATCCAGGCGGAAGGGAAGGGAGGGGAAGGCAGCATTTCTACGAGCATCCTCGCAGTGTTGGTGTCAACCGGAGCAAAGCGAATGGTATTACTCGCGCAACATTTCTTGAACGATGGATTGAAGAAATGCGGGTAGAGTGGGGGTATTAATTCCGTAATCGGCCACTAGATTTTATGAAGCAATGCTAATCTCTGAAAAATAAGACATGCCTTCGCAACTTTCTCAATAATTTGCGTTCTAACTTTCTCAGGAATTTGAGGTATCTTCTGTGATAGATATTTATCTGTTTCGGTCATTTGTTTAGATATTTTGGAGAAAGTAACCGATAGAAGTTCTCGTCTTCAAAAGAAAATTGTATCTACTTCGCGCCATTGAAGATGTGTTTGGAATGTTGTCATCAGTCCTCGCTGCAAGCTTTTGCTTTCACCTGTTTATTGTGCCAGAGAGGAAGAAGCAAGGACATCGTTCAAGAAAAGTTGCGCGAGTAATATCACCGTACCCTACAAATTAAGTATAAAAATATATATTACTAAATAATTTATATATTATTTAATAAAAATACAAGTATATTAACTCATGACAGTTATTTATAACTTATTTAATAAACTATATGTAATTCAGAATCATTGAAATACCATTTTTAAATAAATATTTATATCATTCCAACTATAACATTTTGTAATTGGTGTCAGGCCTAAAATGATGTCACCTGGGGTGGACTATCACCCTGACCCCACCCATAAAATCACCACTGCATCCTGTTGTCTAAGCTATCCGGGACGAGCCGCGTCAATGTCATGGTGGCTAACGTTTCGGCCAGCGTATTGTGGCCTTCTTCAGAGCGTACTGCTGAAGCATCCTGACCAGGTACGTGCCTACCAACACTGCTGTTTGGTGCGTTGTGATGGTGAAGCACCCAGTTATCAGCGATGTCAGGACGGACGTGCCGGACCCTCAGTTGAAGACGTTGGAGCACTGTACACGTAAGCTTCCGCGGCTTGGAGCACTGTTTTGTAGTAGGCAGCATTTTCTGTGGTTCCCGAAGACACACACTCTTTGGGTACAATCCCTTTCGAATGGAAGAAGACGATCAGTATAGATTTCACTTTGGATTTTGACATTCGGGCCTTCTTTGGGTGCGGGGGTGTGGATGTGTGCCAATCATAACACTGCATCTTGCTTTCGAGGTCGTACTTAAAAACCAGGACTTCATTCCCAGTTATTGCATAATTTAAAATTATTCATTAGTTTCCAAATTTTCAAAAATTGTGCGGGAAAATCACACACGACATTCCTTTTGACCGTCCGTCAGAAGTTTTGGAACCATTTAAGTAATGACATTGTGCATGTTCAAATTTCCAGCCATAATTTCAAAAAAATGCGTTTTGCAATTTCTACCTTATATGAAATCAACTGGAGACTTAATCGTCTATCGGAGTCCAACACAGCTTTAACGCGAGCCACACTCACGTCCCTTTATAATGTAGAGGGCCTGCCTGCGCGCTGTCCTTCCTCCGGCGCTTCCTGCCCTTTTTGAAAAGCCAAGTGCCTCGTGTAAACCTACATTCTGGACATCACGTCCTCGCCATAGGCCTCTCGTATCATAGATAAAGTCTCCGTAAAAGTTGTGTTTGATTTCACGCAGAATTGCATGGCATAACGCTGTTCCTGAGTGCGCTGCATTTTCAGAAACTCAAAACTTAGACACACCTCCAATGCACTACTTCACTTTCTAGGCCATTGTGACACTACTGCTGCCAGCAGGCGACTGAGTGAGCGATTTCGCGTTTAGAAGGTGGAGGTCGCTCTCACCGCGCATCACCATTGCTCCCACCGTGCGAGCGTTTCTGGCGCCGCATTACGGCAAGTTCGGGTACTTTCAGGACAAACTGCTTTTTCCCTTGATTCTAAAGATGGTATTTGACGACGTTGCTGTTCAAACGGTGAGTGTGATTGAAATATTCCCTTTTGTTGGGGATTTGCGCTACGTAGATGTGTTACTCTGGTGCTTGGAGTCTACAAGAACAGCATTACACAAAGGTGATATAACAGAGGAATTAGACAGTGCGTCCTCTTTACGTCAGAAATATGACACCATTATTTTGAAGTTTTGGTTATTCATTTTCTCTTAGAAATGTATTACGAAGGTATGATACAGCACGTTATTTCCATCATACCCTATCTACGTTAAAAATTGTTTTTTCACTACATTATTCCATGGTGCAAACCTGACATGAAGTGCCAACTGCTTTGGGCTACATTACCACAAAAGTCTTCGTCAGGTATGATTAATAATTAAGTCATTAAAATATGATTTTTCATAATTTCATATGATTTGTAACACTCCAATAATTCTAACCTAACTCCAACCGCACTTTTTCTAAACTTTTAAGGAGTGAAGAGTTAAAAATTTTGAAGAGTTGGGGCTCAGATCTGGCGGAGATAAGTGTCTCGTGTGAGGGGTCTCAAATGTGGGAGCTCGGGCGGGAGGTTGTACTACGCGGAGGGCAGTAGGCTAGGCGAAGGAGAGTGAACGGGCCACGGGGTGGTTGAATGAGTAGTTTGGTAGTCGAGCAATGGCACACGGTTGGGTGTTCGAAAGCGGGATGTTCGGGAGCGAAGTGGCTGAGCGAAAGAGAAGTGAATGGCTGAACTGCGACAGAGCGAGCGGGTGTTTGGATTGGCAAGGGCGGAGGTTGGGTGGCTGGGACAGAGAGAAAGAGAAAGAGAGAGAGAGAGAGAGAGAGAGAGAGAGAGAAAGAGAGAGAGAAGATAGAGAGAATGAGGGAGAGAGAATTTAAGAGGGGAATGGTTGAGTGGGCGAGAGTGGATGGTTGAGAGAACGACGAGTAGATGGTTGGTTGGGCGAGGGAGGCCGGTTGAGGGAGCGCAGAGGTAACGGAACACTGGGTGAGAATAGTTAGGAGAACGAGGATATGATGATTAAGATGAGGGGGGACGTTTTGGCGAACGAGGAGGGAATGGTTAAGCGGGCGAGAGTGGAGGGTTGACCCAGCGATAAGGGAAGGTTGGGCGGTCATGAGTGGATGGATGGGTGGGCGACGGAGACCGGTTGAGGAATTATGGAACGGGAAAGAGTGGATGGTTGAGAGGGCGAGAGTGGATGGTTGGGTGGGCGAAGGAGACCGGTTGAGGAATGGTGGAGCGGGAAATAGTGGATGGTTAAGCGGGCGAGAGTGGATGGGTGGGTGGTTGGGCGTGTGAGAGAGGGAGGGCGGTTTGGAGGGCGGGCGTGAGTCGGGGCTCGCGAACAAAGCGCAACTCGCTTCTCGCGCCGCGCCGGGCTGTTGTAGAGGGTCGCGTCCCCGGCGCGTCGGCCGCGGTGCGGCTGCCGGATTGAGCCAATTGCCCGCGCCTCAGTGAGCGCTCCGCTCGCCACGGGCACAAAGCGCGGCTCTCCCGCTGCGCGCTCCGCGCTGCTCCTTTGTGCCAAAACTACTCCGGGTGACAACGCTGGCAGCACCAAGGGAAATTGCCTACGGGTAAGAGTTTTCTGATTGTCGAAGGTTAAAACTAAATCTTTCTTAATGTTTATCCTGAGTGTTCTAGAAGTAATATCATTATGTTATATGATAAAGGCCTAATAATTTTGGCAAAGAAGAGAATTGAACAATTTTAATTTTTAATATGTATTTAGTATAGTTTTTGTTTTAACCTATCAGAATTCAATGCTGTTAAAATTTTGAGAGACCACACTTCGTATTTGTCTGGATTCTAGAAAAGGTCATTGAGGCGTCGGTATTATCACCATTTTTAGCAAATACAACTTTTAACTTTATTCTGTATTCAGTACTATTTCAATCATTACTCAATACTTATATTTTTAAATTAGTCGTCATTCGAAATACAAATATCTGAGGTAACCTTTGAATGTTCAATTTTGACATTTAATTCTTGTAAAAATATTTCACATCTTTGTAAGAAAAAATTGCCCAAGTAGAAAATAACCCAAATCAAAATCATCTTACAAAG